TTTTAAAGTTAAAAATGCATATAGGTTTAAAAGTGTTTTAAAATCAGATAATTAGGCCAATGATAATAGTTGAGCGATCGTGCTAGAACCACGGAATCCGGGAATGCCTAACACCTTCTCCGGGTTAACATAATTCCTTACCCGGATTTCTGTGTTCGCGGACTATAAAACAGAGTCAATCTTCCTCGATTCGGGATTTGAACCGGTGACTTGGGACACCATAAATTATCCCAAGTGGCGACTCTGAATAAATAAAACAATCTCGTTTCGATTGTCGCTTAAATTGGAAAAAACTTCCCTATCCCCTTCCGGGGTAGTAAAAAAGAGGTGTGACAGGGGTAAGTGTAAACACTTAAAAATCCCTCCACATGTGTAGTGATGCTTTCCTCGGGGCATGAGATCTGAACCACGACCTCGCCTTGCCAGACGCAGTCCTTCTTCATGGATTTGAGGTGCTTCTTTGATATCGAACTAATGTATCGAGATACATGTTCATATCGGCCGAGGATATCGGGAGGATTTTCGACATTAAAATCCTTCTTTATCATGCAAGGGTCGGGGGTGATTTCGCGAAGAGCCGATGGCGCCACCGGTTTGGCCAGCCGGGAAGTAGAAGAAGACTTGGGGGACTGTTTTGAAAGTTTTAGCCATAGGTCAAACTAAGGAATATAGGCGGTAGCAGAGCGTTGTGTTTTACAGGAGCTTGAAGTTTTCCGGTGACCGGAGTTAGAGGAGAAGGAGATGAAAAGGAAAAAGTGAGCAAGGTAAATACAATGAAGAGATAAAGTTTTTAGTTCAAAGAAGGAACCCCATATTTATAGATGAGGGGCGACGGTTCGGCGACGCTAGTGGCCGACCATTACTAGCGTGCATTTAATGTTTTGGGGAAACGAACCGACGGGACGTTTCGGTCACATCGAACGCCTACGTCATGGAAATGACATTATCGTTAGAGACTCCGAGAGATCGAGATTCAAATCGTTTCTTATCATCTTATTCTAAGAAATGCGGGGACTATCTGTATACGGTATGCGCGATTTTCCAGGCTCGAGGGATCGTTTTAAGCCCGAGTTTGGGTAAGGTCGAGTTCGAGCCCGACGGATCAGACTCGAGCTCAAAGACAGAGTGCAAGGCCCGAAGATTGAAGTACGATGAACGAAGCCGAGTGTACTCGACCCCGAAATAATGTCGTTATGGATTTCTATTAGAATGAGCGAGATTCCTGCCACGTCCCCAAAATCATGGCGCAAATTCCGGAATAGAATTGTATGATTCCGTACTAGGCGGTTAGACAGCTGTACCAATAAGATTCTTTACTGTAAATGGAAATGTACCTTATTTAGGGTTCCCCTATTATATAAAGGGGACCCCAATCATTTGTAACATTATCTAATCATTGACAAAGAATATACTATCCTACTTTTCTCGCTTATTGTTCATCAGAGCTATCCTTAGCTTTATTGTTCTTGCCTTGTTGTTCTTAAACCATCTCGAGGTCACTAGTCTCGAGGTCGATATTGCTTAAGTTACACCGGTTTGATTCATTCATTTCTCTCATTTATACTTTATACTTCTTGATTATTAATTGGTAATGAACTAAATCACATATCTTTATAACCACAAATCAAGTTTAATTGTTACTCGTATTTTCGAGGTAAACAATGTTGTTGTTGTTGTTGTCCATTAGTAACACCGTAAGTAACCTACTTATTTCAGGATTAAAACGCAGTAACTGCGAAGAAATTCAAATTAAATTGAGTAATGAAGAGAGGGGGAGAAACTGGGGGGAAAAAAAAAAGCGGAGAGGGAAAAGATATAAGATTACAGTCCGTTCAAATGTGGAATAATGAATAATTATAATAAATTTTTGAAGTAGGTATACATAGTAAAATAAATTATTTTAATTATATATGGTATTAACCGATATTTCCAGTAGGCATACGGCACCGATTACTCAATTTGGTTTCCAGTGGACAATGGGGCAAGTGAACATATAGTTAATTTTGGGACCATTATTTAAGCTACAATGTAGTGTATTAAAATTTACAATTAGCCACTTCGGACCTAATTTTAAGTATACACTATCGAAGTTCGGCGAATTTCAGTTTCGAACTCACCCTCAAATTCAATACCCAATAGAGTTCGAAAAATTCAATCACCAAAAACTTCAAGTGTCAATCACTAATTTACAAAGACCAAGCTGTAGAGTTGTTAACAATTTTACCATTAGTTCTTCGAACAAATTAATGTCTAAAACTATTTTAAAACCAGAGGAACATCCATCAATAACATATACATCAATAGAAAAGTTGATATGTTGTGATTGGTGTTGTTGGAGGAGTTTGTTTGAGAAGCAACAAAAAGGCTTTTGCTAGAAATTTGCTAACACTGGCTATCAGTTAAATAATTAAAAATACTAGATATAGCTTAAATGGAAAAGTAAAAGTTGAATGATTTTTACGCAACAAGAAGAAGAAAAATGACTTTTGCATAATGAACACAAAGTTAAATGATCACCCATAATTTACTCATCTTGGTAAGGCCCAAGTTCCCTTCTTCCATGTTATCATCCATTGCAATGCCTTGTGACTTTTAAAAATTTAAGTGTAGCACTTTCTTTTCTTTTTTTCAAAATTTAAATCTCACTTCACGGTGGGAGTTTAGGCACTTGTATATTTGCAGCCAAAAAGAGAACACATGGAGAATGGGGACATAAAATCTTTCAACTCCCCGAAATATTTCGTTGATTACTACACCCTTCCTCGTCTCTGGGTGCCACCGCAAGCCTTTCCCGTTTGAACCTCGCCCTTCACTTTTAAGGCCACCTCTCCATCTGCATCAAGTAAGTTATCAGTTCCAAATGTGTTTATTTCGTCCGTAGGTTTATAGTTGGAAATGGTTCCTTTTGCTATTTTGTATGAGGTTTTTAATAAGTTCATTATATCTTCTGCTGTTCAAATTGGCTGTTTTAGCTCTCTTTTATTTTCGAAGAGTTGACGGTTAGTTAAGGAGACTTGAGATACATATAATTGCATAAAGAACCGTTGGATACATAGCGACACGAGACAAGACCCCGCACATAAGCCTAAAGGAGCTTTTTGATGCCTCGCTCTGAGGCTAGTCCCGATTCTACCTTTTAAAACAGACTCAAATTCTCTAATGAGGTTTGTTTGAATGGTTTCACTATTGTCCCTACTTAATGTTGTTTTGATATAGAACAGTGACTGTGTCTTAGTTAAAACACTCAGAATTTCCATCAGGGGTTTGTGATATAGAAACTGTGCACTCCGTATTATTGAGACCCCTTATTGAAGTTTTTTGATGTGATATAAAATTTTCCAAGGGGAAAAAACCCTCCTTGAGCATCAATATATAAGAAACTTAGAATCAGTCTCAGGAATTAAAGAGACTGATTCTAATGAGAACCTTAGAATCAGTATCTTCGATCCCTCTCGAGTTGCCATAGCTTCATTAGAATCATTGATAAAGCTCCTACAGAAGTCACATTCCTCAAAATAATTCACAACACATAATCCCACAAAACGTACAAGTTTTATTGTAAAGCATCTATTTATGAATCGATAACCTCTCTTCCCCATATTTGTGATCACATCTCATTTTCCAGTTCAATACGGTTGTCAGATTCCTATCCATCACTTTACAGATAAAAGCTTTAGAGGAAAACATTCAAACTTAATTCCAGCAAAGCAAGCTGACCGATTGAAGCATCAAAAACACAGACAAAGAATTGCACAACTCATTTACATTAAAGTATCATCTGGCGGCCGTATGGAACACCCTCCAAACCAAAAGATATTCTTTCTTTTTTTTCCAGAGTAATTCACATATAGTCAGTCATTGAACTAAATGTCTATTGCAACAACGTTAGAAAACTAATTTTTGTATTAAAAAATCATCAAACAATTACAAGTTACAACTATTTTGGTGGGAGGTAGCAGATAACCATTGAATTAGTCAAGGTTTGCACAAGCTAGCCCTGACACCACAATTATCCCCAAAAAAAAATTGTAATTTTGCTTGAGATAAAAGTGCCAAATAAACAATGCCACATCATTAAACATGAACTCAGCTTACATTATCACAAAGGATAATAGAGTTTCGGAGAAAGTTCTAGTCATTTGGTCGACAAATACCCCTTTAGATAAGGATATATGCACGCCCCTATAGCTTATGGACTTACGCGATAACATTTGACAGTTCCCTGGAGGAGGATCCAATCTCCTTCATGACATTTCAACAGTTGGAGAAAGTTGAATGCAAGTACACATTCTTTATGCAGAATACTAACAAGTCAACCTATCACCAAAATTAGAAAGGTAAATGTTAGAAATATGCTTTAGAAGCTGCTCTCAGTAAAATTATTTTACTGTTTCAGCTATTTACTGCAGTAATTTAGTTTGAATTTAAAATAATTTTGAACTAGTCTTTAGGAGTGAACTAGTCTCTAGGAGTTAGTTATTTTCAGCATATTTTGTGCTGATTTTTAGGTCTTTTAAGTTAGTATTTCTCTTATAAATTGTAGTCCAAATGCAGTAAAATAATATAGTATTTTCAGCTTCAGTTCCTTTTACATCTATTCCAGTATATTTTTTTATTTTCTTGTCATTTTCCCAGTTATTTCCCTTAATTTCTTTTATCAAGAACCAACAATTGGTATCAGAGCCATCTTCTTAAGGGACCTAAGTAAAATCTTTTCTTGAGTGAGATGGAGACTGAAATGAGTTTTTTCTCAATTGGCTCCTCCAGTCTTTGATGGTGAAAATTACCAATTGTGGGCAGTGAGAATGGAGACTTACTTGGAGGCTTTATATCTTTGGGAGGCCGTGGAAGAGGATAATGATGTTCTTCCGCTGCCTAACAATCCCACGGTGGCCCAGATCAAGAGTCACAAGGAAAAGAAAACCAGGAAATCAAAGGCGAAAGCAACTTTGTTTGCTGGTGTGTCTGCAACAATTTTTACGAGAGTTATGGCTCTCAAATCAGCAAAAAAAATCTGGGATTATCTGAAGGGAGAATATACAGGAGATGAAAGAATACGAGGCATGAAGGTGTTGAATTTAATAAGGGAATTCGAGTTGCAGAAAATGAAGGAATCTGAGATTGTAAAAGAATACTATGATCGGTTGCTTGGCATTGTTAACAAGGTAAGATTGCTTGGTACTAAATTTAAAGATTCAAGAATTGTTGAAAAATTCTTGTTACGGTGCCTGAAAAATATGAAGTATCCATAACTACCTTGGAAAATACAAAGGATCTATCCAAGATTACCTTGGCAGAATTGTTAAATACATTGCAGGCACAAGAGCAAAGGAGGCTTATGAGGCAAGATGGTATGGTTGAAGGAGCCCTGGCAGCCAACCACAAAACTCAAAGCAAGGGTAATAATGTTAAGAAAAATTACCCGCCTTGTCAGCACTGTGGCAAAAAAGGTCATCCACCATTCAAATGTTGGAAGAGGCCAGATGCAAAGTGCAAAATTTGCAACCAAATTGGTCATGAAGCTGTAATTTGCAAAGGCAAATATCAAAAACATGAAGCAGATGCCCAAGTCGCCAATGAAGAAGACGAAGATCACTTGTTTGTGGCAACTATTCTTTCAACCAAAAAGTCTGATTTTTGGTTGATTGACAGTGGTTATACAAACCACATGACATATGACAGAAATCTTTTCAAACAGTTCACGTCTATAGGAAATAAGAAAGTCAGAATTGGAAATGGTGATTATATTCTTGCTAAAGGAAAAGGAATTGTTGCAATCCCAACAAATTCAGGTACTAAGAAAATTTCATATGTTCTTTATGTTCCTGATATTGATCAAAATTTATTAAGTGTTGGACAACTAATGGAAAAAGGATTTAAAGTATCCTTTGAAGATAAATATTGTTTCATTTATGATGCAACTGGACTTGAGATTTTAAGGGTTGAAATGAGAGGTAAAAATTTCTCATTTGATCCAACCGAAGATGAAGAATGGAGCCAAAAGAATCTACTAAGTACAGGTAATTCTCCAACTGAGGACATATGTGAAAATAAGGTAAGGAAGAAGTTGTCAATATTTCAGAAAATGCAATTCTGGAAGAAAGTTGACAAGTCTCAAGGCAAAATGCAATTCTGGAAGAAAGTTGACAAGTCTCAAGGCAAGATGCAAATGAAGCTGAAAAACGAGCCAACTTATTTCATTAACAATCATGAGATGCAGCAAAATACAGAAGTGAACTCGATTCACTGCAAGTCCAAAGATCAGTTGGCAGATTTACGTACAAAGTCGCTTCCAGTTAAAGGTTTACAAGGGACAAATTCAGAAGTTGCAGCTTCAAAAGCAAGGAGGAGTGTTAGAAATATGCCGTAGAAGCTGCTCTCAGTAAAATTATTTTACTGTTTCAGCTATTTACTGCAGTAATTTAGTTTGAATTTGAAGTAATTTTGAACTAGTCTTTAGGAGTGAACTAGTCTCTAGGAGTTAATTATTTTCAGCATATTTTGTGCTGATTTTTAGGTCTTTTAAGTTAGTATTTCTCTTATAAATTGTAGTCCAAATGCAGTAAAATAATATAGTATTTTCAGCTTCAGTTCCTTTTACATCTATTCAGTATATTTTTTTATTTTCTTGTCATCTTCCCAGTTATTTCCCTTAATTTCTTTTATCAAGAACCAACAGTAAAGAATAATGGAGTATCAAAGAAGCGAGGGGAGTTAAGCTATTGTCAGTAGGCTCTTTATATAAGAATTACATGCTTAAACATACTTTATTTAGATATCACCAACCCAACGATAACTCTAAAGAACACCAAAGTTAGAAAGGTAAAGAATAAGAACAAAAGAAGTGAGGGGAGTTAAGCTATTGCCACTAGGCTCTTTATATAAGTCCCTAAAGCAAATAACATTTGCGGCAGTTTGAATCCCTTCACAGTTTTATGATCTAAATTATAAGAAAAGACACTACCCATGTAGTAAAATACAAGTTTACCGTCTTGGATATAGAAAAACTTTATCCACCAATAAACGTTTCTAGGTACTCCGCCGTAAGGCAAACCAAGAGGAAAGAATCTTGTATTGCAGATATTAACCTTATACATTTCATAGTCCTCCAAGATCCATATATACACTGCAAGCTCAGAGACAAGCAAGTGACAGAAAGACAAACAGTTATCGTTTCATGCACTTGCTTTGCCTTGCACACACTTCCAGGATGAGGCATAGCAGAGAGTTCTTCCTTATCCATTCTAAAAACCATGATTCCATTTGCACAATTAGGAAGGTCCTTTTTTAAGTAAGTGTACACGATCCAATGCAATGCTCCATTAACAATTGCTGGAGAGCGACGATACGGCAAAAAGTTGAAAGTGCATGATGAACGGACTTTCCTCCACGTCTGTGTCTTGAATATATATACTAAATACTGACACCAACTGCGTCGTACTTGCGCATAAAAAAGTTTGAATCCTCGACAAAAATAAAAAGCACATAATCGGCCAGGGTGATGTGTATGTTGTACAAATACTTCCTCCTGAGTTATCGGGTTCAAAACATAATAAGTGGTACGAGGCCAGTAGTTATTATTAGCAAACAGAAGAACTCCTTGACAAGAGTATATAGGAGAAGAGGAGCGTTGTCCTAGTCCTAGGTGCTTATTAATCATAAGCTCAGGTTGGAGATAAAGTTCTGTGAGCATCAGCTCCTTCTTATTAAGGTTTTCACCGAGCACATAAAGCCGTTTCTTATGCTTGGTAGGATCATAACAATCATGCAGAAGAAGCATGGGTCTAGCTCTACTGAGATGTAAGGTGGTAAAATACTGTGATGAGATCAAAGCTCTCGAATCCCTACAATCCCTTCGAAATCTAACAAGGGAATCAATAGGAAGTCTACTCAGGATATCAATGACGACACAATTAGGCAAACGTCCGAAAATTTCAGCAAGTTCCTCATCACCTCTACATATTTTATTAAGGCCAAAATCATACGCAGCCACCTAAACTTGTCCAAATTTTCCTCTTGGCTTGTTCCTATTGAACACTTATATTATTCAAATTTTGTACCCATTAGACACTTTTTTGATAACTGGCAAAAAAATAAAGAGAGTGTAACACACTCGCCAATGATGTGGCAAACTGACGAATTAACTGATGACATTTGGCATTTGAGTCCGAACTAATAATTAACAAAATGAATTATGAGGGAAAAAAAGAAAACCAATTTTTAAGGAAGAAAAAAACTAATTCTAAACCCCACCGAATCCACCTTAACCCATTTCCTATCTTTTGCTAAATCCATCAGGCACCATCTCTAACCACATATTTTTTGGTTTTTACTACTAATTCATTTGTAGTTTTAGATCTGATATTTTTAGTTTTTGATCTAGTATTTTTTGGAAAAGAGAAGAACGAGAATAGAAAAAGAGTGGCGGCAGTGGTGATCACCATTTTTCCCGGCGAGCAAAGTGGTGGTGATTGTCAGTATCAAAGTGAAAGGAGGAGATGGTGGTGGTGGTTTTCATAACCAAAAAAGATGAAAAAAGTGATAAATGGATTGGTGGCAGCGTCGATGACGATGATGGCAGAAGGGGGTGGTGCTGGTTCGAAAAATAGGAAAAAACTGCTTGGTGGCAGCGATAATGGCAGATCCTAAGTTAAAACAACTGCGATGGTGGAGGAGATGAGGTGACTGAAGAAAGAAGAGAAAGGTGGATGGCGGCGGCAGCAGTGTCGGCGATGGCGCCAATGGTGGTGATGGGAGCAGAAGCTACGGCAAAGGAAGAATGAAGAAGAAAGAGATTTAAAAATAAACTAAAAGAATGAAGAAGAAAGAGATTTAAAAAAAAAAGCTTAAAAAAAGTACATCTCACGCTCTAAGTGGAGGTGTATCACACACACCAAGCCATGTCAGCAAAAAGTGTCTAATAGGTATAAATTTTGAATAATATAAGTGTTTAATAGGAACAAGTCTTAGATAAAGTATCCAAGAGGAAAATCCGAACAAGTTTAGGTGGCTGCGCATGATTTTGGCCTTTTATTAAATAGTGAACCCAAGAGTTCTGTGAAGCATTGAACTAGTGTCATGACCTGGGTACCTGCAAATTAAAGCAGAAAAACAACCGATTGTAATATATCATGAAAGATGGGTACTATAATAATGGTTCAAGAAACTCAAAAACATTAAAACATGGACATGATTCAAAGTTTAGGTAAAGCTTGATCACGTGAAAGGGCAAAGATTAAGGAATCAATCAAGTAATTAACAAAAAGATAAAAACACACCAATATGGCAATAAATAACTAATTAAAGGAACTTACAAAAGTTGCAGAGAGGGTTTGAAGGTAAAAAGCCTCTGCGAAATGAGGGAAGTGTGGCTCGGACAACATAAATCTTAGGGTTTCCTTTTTGTTTTCCCTCCTTACATTGTTCAGTTATGTCAGGATTTCGGTTTTAGTACTGTTTTTATTTTGGACGATAATGTTGAGAAAAAGTTCAAAATGGTCCCTTATTTTTAGCTTTAGAGTCAAATCATCCCTTCTGTGCACATGTAATCGATTTTGGGACCACTATTTATTTAAGCTATAATCGTAGTGTATCAAAATTTGCAAGTTTAGCCACTTGGGACCTAACTTTAGGCATATACGATCGAAATTGCAAAACTTTACGTATGATTGAGCTGAATTTTCTTTTACAAAAAGCTCAACATTGGCAAGTCAGGAGCTACTTTATTTTTTCAGCTCAATCACACACTACAAATCATATTCCAATCGGCGAATTTCATTTTCGAACTCAACCCGTTCTCTCATGTTCCAATTGATCACCAACGAACCTATAATCATTTTCGATTTTTAAAGCTTCCAACTTAAATTCAATAAACAGCAGAATTCGAACAAACCAATCACCAACAACTTTAAGTATCAATCACTTAAGGTTATGTCGAAAGAAGTAAAAACAATCCCGATAAAGGGTGTTTAATATATTTTATATACTTCTAAAACCTAATATTTTACCTAATTTAAACAGTGTAATTTTCCAACGAACCATCCTTACCAAAGTGTAGCTTTGCCCCTTGCTTACAAAGACGACCCAGTCGTAGAGCTGTTAACAATTTTATGTTTAGTTCTTCGAACAAAGTCTAAAACTATTTCAAAACAGAGAAACATCCATCATATACATCAATGGAAAAGTTGATATGTTATGGTTGGTGTTGTGTCACTTTGTCATGCCGGTCCTCCTACTTTTCTTTTTTTTATCCAGACACTTCAACTTGTTCAAAATCTATATTTTAAACCCCTCTGACCGTGTGTGTATCTCACTTGCTTGACGTGGATGACACATCATATTCCATGTCATTATATTTTATCTACTAGAAACACTTATTATATACTATTTCCTTAAAGAAAAAGAAAAAGAAATTCAATACCTCAACCTCACCTCTCTTCCCTCAAATTCACAGAGTTCTTCTTCCTTGTCCATCTCATATCCCTTCTCCATTCACAACCAGAAGGTGGAAGGGAGAAAGAAGAAGCTGTGGAAGGGAGAAGCGTACATCACCAAATAGTTTTCAGAAAATAGTTGCCTAAAAAAAATCTTCCAACATCATAAATTCTTCATGAAATCTATCAACCTAGACATTACAATTCGAATTGTAAATTGAATCATGAAGCAACTTTAACTTAGGATAGGACCCACAAAACTACCAATAAATAGAACTAGTAAACGTCAATAGTGCTTGACAGTAACATGAAGCTTAAGAATGGCTCTGAGATTAGGAATATCAATAAAGTGAGTTGTCATAATGCCATAACCTTTAACAAATCATAAAAAACCAGTCCCTGAAACAATTGAGATTTCCCTCTCCTTCATTGCAAAAAGATCAGCACCTTGAATCTCCAAAGTACTCCCTTTGAATTCCCCATCAGTGAAAATAACAGAAAACATCAAGTGCAGTCCCTTATCATCTAACTGTGAATTTATGTACATGTCTTGCGCTCTACCAATCTCTTTGGACTTTGGATCTGGACCTTCAGTTACTGGACCATCCACTGCAACCATTATTGCATCGCTATGCCAAATGCAACTTCTTTGAAAAAGAAGAAGCAAATATAAATTCCAGAGCATATCAGCGATGAAAAGTAGGAGGGGAGAAGCGTACGGGGGGAACGAAAAGGGAGAAGGATTTGTTGGGTGTGGGGGGGGGGGGGTCGGTGACGAAGAAGCGTACTGGGGAACAAAAGGGGAGGAGAGTGTTGTTGTTTGGGGGGGGGGGGGAGTACAGTGTGGAAGAAGAAGAAGAAGCGTTGGGGGGAGGGGGGGAGGGAGGTACAAAAAGAGACATATCTTTTTTTTCTTCTTTTTTTTTACTTTATTTAATGACTTTTCTTCTTATTTTAATAATTTCTTGTTCAAATGTTCATATTCACGCTCGCGTGAATTACACTCACTTTGTCCAGCTCAATCATTATTTTGCCACATGTGCTTGGTCAATGGTCAGAGGGGTTTAAAATATAGATTTTGAACAAGTTGAAGTATCTGGATGAAAAAAAGTAAAGTAGTAGGACCGGCATAACAAAGTGGCACAAGTATAGGTGCCATTTAGGTCATTCTGCCTTAGTAATATATGGATTAAAAATACTAGAATGACCAAACTAACCCTTATAATAGTACAAAGATATTTATATTGTTTAAATAGTAAACATATATTTTAAAGGTCGTGCGTTCGAGTCAGAATGGAAAAATTCCTGTTACGAAATCAAATATCATCAATCCCGTGCTTTAGTTTGTTAGAAATAAAATCTCCTTTTGCATAATGCCTTATAATCATTACTTAAATATCTATTTATTGGGCTCTCCTCGGATACATGACATAATCTTCAATATAGACGATTATAATTCGTCTCTATTCCAAAATGCATCATGCAACAACATTAGATTTATCCTTAAATATTTTTTGTAATATCAATATTACATAAAACAACATCTCTTACCACTTCCGTCAATTGATTACAGACATTGGCTATATGAAGAGTTAGGGAACAAGAATCTGGTAACTCTTTCAGTGTTTCACCATTCAATCAAAAAATCGAAATTCTGGTGAAATATGGTGACTTTTTGGGGACCATTTTGCTTGCTCAATCACCAGAATAAATACATTGTTAAAGCAAATCAAACATCAGAGTATACTTCAGAACATAAGTCAGATAAACTATACAATTTCAGTTGCAGTTTGATCTATGTCTCAAGTAGACAGGATCAAGCTGTGCAATGAATTCATCAATATGCTTGTCTGAACTTCCACTTTTGTCAATTGCCTCATTAGCTACTTCTTTCAAGCTAGTAACATTCTTTCTAATTTCTTCTGCTCTCTCTCCCTCTAAAACTTCCCTGATGTAGCTGCATATCTCCTCACTTGCAGTAACGCCTTTCCCACCATCATTTGCTTTAGCTATCAACCCGACCTCCCAAACTTTTTCCAGAAAATGCGCGTTGATTATATGGTCTAAAATTTGAGGCATTGCAACTATAGGCACACCAAAGGTTATTGCTTCTATGGTTGAGTTCCATCCGCAATGTGATATGACGCATCCAACTGCATGATGTGATAGTACTTCTAACTGCGAGCACCATGTCACAACCAATCCCTTTTCTGATGTCGCTTCGGTGAAATCGCGGGGAAGCTTACTCTGTTCATCAGGTTTCACCACCCATAAGAATGTGATGTTGTTCTGCCTGAGAGCATCAGCTACTTCTGCTATTTGTTCTGCGCTCAAATTTGTTGCACTGCCAAAAGAGACGTAGACGACTGAACCAGTCTTCTTATTGTCAAGCCACTCTATGCAGCTGCTAGAGTTTGGCTTATGAATATTGAAGCCATACTCATCATCATTTTCAACTCGTTTGTCAAGATAAAATGATGGCAAAGTTGGACCTATCGTTACTGCATTCCAAAGCTTCTTCATCCAATCGACAACCTAAATTCACATGAACTTGAGTCAAACAATCCTTCTTTAGAATCAGGTATATAGCAAATGTATACCTTACCTACCATTAAACTTGAGTCCGATTAATTTCCAGTAAGCTAGTGCTCTAAGTTTCTATCTACTTTGATGCAGTTAATATAATTTTTTAAAGCATGAGAACAACGATTCAAATGCGTGCTATAAGTTCTTCAAGTTACAGTTCTTCGACAATTATACAATACCTTAGCAGCCTGAAGTATGGTTAACTTATTGTCCTCAAGTTTGGCGTGCATACATAATCAAGACTAGCTATTATGTTTTAAGAGGAACGGATTGAAAGAGCAGAGGAAATTTGGTGTATCTACCTCTTCTTTCAACTTATCGAAGGAGTTAAAGAGGACCCAGTCTGCCTTTTCAAAGTTATCAAACTGGCCAAGTATGTGCATGATTATTGGGGGATACCGACCAGTGCTAGAACCAAGAGATGGCAGATTTGGAAACCTGAGCTTCGGCAATTCTGTCATGACTGGAAAACTAGGCATGGAAAGACAAGTCTTTTCATAAAGCTCACAGTACAAGGGATAGTAGGTAGCAGCAGTAGCACATGACTGAGTGAAAAAGGCAGCACCAGCTATGCAAAATTGGGTTGTTACCTTAGAAGCCCAGGGAATGTTAGCATCATAAACAAGGCACTTAACTGGGTGTTCTGTTTGTTCTTGATCCATAATGAATTTAGTTAGGTTTGTTGAGCCACTGGCCTGGAATCTGTCTAGAAATCCTTTGAAACCCCCTGGGCCGACCAGCCCGCCTTCAGAGCAATCATCGTATATAGATGTAAAAGTGATTATGGAGTCAGATAAAGCAGCATTCATGGCCATGGAATTGGAGAGCGTGGTAGCTACTGTGATTTTGATTCCTTTGGAAGCCAGGCGTTTTGAGAATTGGAGCATTGGGTTAATATGGCCCTGTCCCTGATCTGCTAGCACCACAATATGACGTGCTTTCTCAACTCTTTCTTGCTCCATGGTCTGCACTCTGCCAGAAAACTTATGCAATTACAAGCCACTTCGCTCGAAAGAAAGGAAGATGTCAAAAAGACTCAAAACTGTCCGCAAGTCTCTCCTCCCTTTTTTTCTCTAATGTTCCTTTCTCTAACAAGAAATTGTTGGTATTATTGTTTCTTCTGCTTATGATTTCTTGCTACAACATCAAGATAGCCTACTATGTTAACAGAGATAAGCCGTCTGTTTACATTGATATCATCGAGTAGGGCCAGACATAATAGACTTCTATTCTATTTGAAATGAAAGCTGTCTTTTAGTACTTTGGCTAGTAAAAGGATTCCATCAAAAATGGAAGCCGCCCCTCTCTTTTCTTCTTAAAGAATGTAATCATTAGGACATTTGTATATATTTGTTGTCCATTTATGTTCTGTATGTTTTGTCCTTTACCTTCTATTTCCTCCTATCAAATTACAACATGTGCTTGCATTCAAATGTCAGATTCCAAGAGAGACAAGTACAAGTGTACAACGTATGTGTAAACAAATTTGTGTGTAAACCTAAAAGACCAACAAAAAAAGAAGGCAAATGAATACCAAAGTGATAAAATTGTAAGTATCTGTAACCTCTATCAAATCCTTTGACTCGTCTTAAGAATGAATTTGAATGCCAGCTTGATATCGGAGTTTGCTAAGATATTGTATTATTCTTCACGAACACTTAATGATCCCCAAAAACAATAATTTTCAGTGGCTTGGATCAATCCTAAATAAGGCCACTTCAAAGAATTCTATTAAAAAGTGGCTGGTCTAGTTATTAGGGGAAACGATCCGCACCAAATATTAGGGGAAAACACCTTTACATGTATATCTGCTATCACAGAGCATCCTGAAAAGAACATACAGCTGTCAGAATGGTCACGAACGGAGAGCACCACTTGAATTTATTGAGTCCAATTAGATCCCAGAAAAAGCAGATCACTTGCTAAAGATACAAATGTGCCAACCAAGGAGCATCGCGGAAAACTAAGTCTGCCTTCAGCTCTATGCTTGTTTTAACCAATGGATGTGAAAGATCGTCAACTTAAATATGGTTGACAAATGGATTATACTCACTGTAGGACATGAAGGTGCCCATCTATAGATGAGTTGCAAGCTGTACTCCTGCAACCAAAGAAAAGCATCATATTTGTCAGAGAAAACAGGTAAACAAGGAAAGTTTCAGCATGTAGATACAGGAAATGCCCCAAACCATAAGAAAAATCAAAATTCTAGCTAAAAGGAATGATGAGTGGTTATAATCAAAGACCAGACAACGGGGAGAACGCAGTACAATGAATTCATAAAACTTGAAACCAATGACAACGTAAAACATAAAGAGAATCCCATCAACTAACTCATTCAACTTAAAAGAAATAAAAAGGCAAGAAATGTGGGGTGGAAGTTCCTAGGAACATCTAGATCAAATAGTGCGAGAAATATTATTTCAATAAAGTGCGTGCTATAGAAACTTGTATCATGGAAACATATTTCTTCGCTAATATGCTTGAGGATTCTAGAAACTCAACTGTATCATTTCCCCTAGCAGAGAGTCACTCAACCCTTTGGCATTTCCATTATTCACAAACTGGGAGCATTAAGGAGCTGCAAGTTCTTTGTTTGATAGTTACTCAATCGTGTATAACTATAAGATATATGCAATCTCTATCTCGTTAGTTCATTATGCCTTAAGTATCTAGAAGGTATCCAATGAGCATTCACCACCAGGGAACACAAAGCAGAAACGTTCACAATGCACATCCATTTTCAAAATGCCAGTCAAACAAGACGTAGCAACATATTCCTACTTCAGCATTGAAGTCTTACATTTTAATACCCGAAGATGCTATAACTTTTCCTTGGCAACATAACCACTTCCAGAATGACTTCTTCAAATCTCCACAGAAACCAAGACACTCATTAGGTGACAGTAATCATTATCCCATATCTCACCAATAATTCCCACATGAGCATTCACCATCCCTGAAATGATGAAACCTATTTCCATCTCTGACGATGATTTCTCTTGCCTCAACCTTCGACATGAATTTAATTGCATTGTGGCAGTCACCACAAATACGTAGGTTCTTGAAGACCCTAATTGTGGCTCCACGAGGAAGTTTCAAGAGCCCAAATACAACTGCCAGCTTTTCACTATGAGTTGATATAGCATACTCCTTTTGCTCAGCCTCCATATCCTGCAACACATATTGTGTGTCTGGAACATATCCCATTTTCCTCATCTTCAGTCTTAACTCCTCCAGGTAGTTGTACACTGCTTGAATTTCAGGATGTGCAGTATCATCCACCAAAAAGACATGAACTGTATTCTCAACCTTAATCCAACTACATCCAGGCTCTTTTTTCACCCCTTGGTCTCTCATCAGTTTTCGCACTTTAGCAGCATCATCCCACCGGCCTGCAGCAGCAAAGGTATTAGCCAAAAGTATGTAGGTTCCATCATGTTGTGGCGTCAACTCAAAGAGTTTTTCTGCTGCTTCAACCCCCAAATCCACGTTCCTATGAGTTCGGCAACCAGCAAGAAGAGCTTCCCACATGGGTGCCCCAGGTTTAGTAGGCATAGTCTGGATCACATCTTTTGCTTCTAATAACCTTCCAGCTCGAGACAACAAATCAATTAAACGGGCATAGTGATCTTCTCCTGGATTTATTTTGTAAACACTATGCATTATATTAAAGTAGTGTCGTCCCCTTTCTACCAATCCTGCATGACTACAAGCAGATATAACTGTGAGAAAGCTGATCCTATCAGGAGTTATATGTTCATTTAACATCTGTTCAAAAAGTTCTATGGCTTGAGCACCATATCCATGCTGTCCCAAGGCAGCAATTAATGCATTCCAAGAAACCAAATCTACACAAGGCATTGTGAGAAACACAGTACGTGCAGCTTCAATGACCCCAGATCTTCCATAAAATGTTATTAATGCATTTCCAGCTGAAAGGCTTGAATCAAATCCACGCTGGATAAGCTGAGCATGGAGTTGGCATCCAGTTTCTAGTGCTGCAAGCACTGCACAAGATGTAATAGCTCCTGCAAATGCATAGTCACACAGCTCAATCCCGTGTAGTCTCATTTGGTTGAACAGTTTGAGAGCTTCTTCTCCTTTTCCATTTTGTGCAAATCCTGATATCATTACTGTCCATGCCAGAGAATTCTTCTCTGGCATCTCATCAAAGAATAATTTAGCTTCATTAATCCGCCCTGCACCTACATATGCTGATAGAACTGCATTCCACGAAACAAGGTCCTTAAAGGCTAGATTATCAAAAACTTTTCTTGCTTCATCGACTCTACCACATTTCCAATATAATGTTATTAAAGCGTTATGTACAGACACATGAATTTCCTCTTCTGTTCGTCTAACATAAGCATGCACCTGTTTTCCTAGAAGAAACAATCCAGCATCGGCACAAGCACTGAGGATACTAGTGCAGGTAAACTCATCTGGCTTCAACCCTGCTGACTGCATTTTCCTTAACATATCTAATGCTTCGAAGATGAAACCTTTATGTACATAGCCAGAGATCATTGCATTCCATGCCACAAGCAACTTCTCATCCATACCATCAAACACCTTCCGAGCAGCATCAAGGTCATCATTCTTTACATACCCTGTGATAATCGTAGTCCAGGACAAGTCATCCCGCTCTGGCATCTCATAAAATAATTTGCTTGCTGAGTCCATCAACACCACGGATGACGCTATGGGTGATGAAGCACATTTTACATAGACTGATATAAGTGCATTGACGACGCACTTAACTGACGCCATGCCCGACTTCACAACAGCACAATGCAGCTGCCCGCAGTGCATTTCATGATCAGCTATAAGAGCTAAAGCTGCAAGCACTGAGGTGTAGGTGTACTCATCAGGAGGAAAACTTTTCCACCTCATATCAAGAAATAGTTTTATAGCAGCATGGCCATCATTGTTGTGTGAATAGCCTGTAATCATAGCGTTGTAACAAACAGTGTCGCGGATGCTTAATGGGGTTTTATTAAAAACCTCTCTTGCAAGCTTGGGGTAACCGGAAGCAGAGTATGCAGCAATAATTGTTGTTCTTGCCACGACATCTGGTTGGGGAATTCTATCAAACAGGTGCTTTGCATACACAAGGCCGGAATTTTTGCAGTAAATGTCGATTAAGCGATTAAGGATGTGGCTTCGTGGCCTGAATCCGGAGGTAATCATGTTGCCATGGATTGATCGAACAAGAGCAAAAGCTGAGCTGGCATACTTTTTCTCTCGGCAAAGAAATTGGAGCTGGACTGCGTAAAAGTTGGCAATGGTACGAGTGTCTGATTGGTTTAGCAAAGACGTTTTGACGGCAGCAGCCGCATTTTTCATGACTGAAAAGGTAAAGATAGGGAATTTCACTAGTGTGAAATGTCTTACAAAGTATCATTCAGAGTCAAAGAGTGAGAATCAAAGAGAGAACTTTTAATCCCACTTGTTGAAGACACCCGAACGAAGAAGAGTGCCGTGGAAACTAGGATGAGAACTTGGCAAAATCAAATACGTAGCCGAATTATGATCTTTTTGCAATGCAATGAAACTAAAGAAATGTCCTTCTCATCTGCGTTTAGTCCTTTTCGTCCCTTGCTTCCAACAACGTCAATGTATCCTACTTGTATATTCGTCCTGTTGCACTTTCTTCTCACAAGTTTTTGGGCTCTAAAGTTGCGAATACATAACTGAAACTTCAAATGCAAACACTCCCCACTTTCTGCTTTTTCGGGGAGCATCATATCATAGTTAAAAGCATTATTCAGGAAGAATATGGCAATTGGCTTTTGCTCATCAAACCATTAGTAAACTCAAATCCACCTCGCGAGAAGTCGTACTCATCCAGTTAAAGGCTTCAATGAAATAATACAATGACTTTACCAGATTCTCCTCCCATGAAGTAGGAAGATTACTACTGACTTACTGCAACTCAGGGCTGTCCAAAGGGGTAGAAATAGCGTGGGATAGCTATTTTTTAATATGGTATTTAGTTTTTATAGGTGTTTTTAATGTTAAGCAAAATTAGTTATTACTGTATCAAAATTAATACGAAAAGATATTTTTACCCTTTCTACATAAGTGTTGTGTAAATATTAAAGACATGATATCCTTAACATTTACACTGCACACATGAAGCCATGTCCTTAATATTTACACTATAGATATGAAGTTAAGGACTTGAGAGGACACTTTGTCCTTAATATTTACACAGCATTCATGAAGTTAAGGACACCATGTCCTTAATATTTTACACAGCATTCATAAAATTAAGGACACCATGTCCTTAATATTTACACAGCACTCGTGTCTAGTACAGGGGTATTTTCGTTCGGGCGGATAAAAATTTATTAAGCATTGGCTAAAGAATAAATACATTTTAAATAGTGGCTAAAGAGTAAAGACATCTCTAATTAATGGCTAACTATGCACTTCCCCCTCCAACGGGACGGGTCGGCCCGGCCCATCTCTATCTTGGTCCCATCTTAAACAGGACTGGGCCCACAGTAGACGGAGCTACTAATTAGAGATGTCTTTACTCTTTAGCCACTGTTTAAAATTTATTTACTCTTTAGTCAGTGCTTAATAAATTCTTACTCGCTTGGACGAAAATACCATGTTCTAGATATGGATGTTGTGTAAATATTAATGATATAGTGTCATTAACTTTATGAATGTTGTGTAAATATTAAGGACAAAGTATCATGTATTTGCACCTTCCGTTGTTAAATTAGGACATCAGTCATTAACTTCATATGTGCAATGTAAATGTTAAGGACATGGCGTCCTTAACTTCATGTGTGCAATGTAAATGCTAAGGACATAATGTCCTTAACTTGTATTTGCACCTTCTGTTGTTAAGCTTTAGGACTTCATGTCCTTAACTACATATGTGCAGTGTAAATGTTAAGGACATTGTGTCATTAACTTCATGTGTGCAGTATAAATGTTAAGGATATAGTGTCCTTAACTTTATAAGTGTTGTGTAAATATTAAGGACATGGTGTCCTTAACTTCATGAATGTTGTGTAAATATTAAGGACAAAGTGTCTTGTATTTGTACCTTCCGTTGTTAAACTTTAGGACATCATGTCCTTAACTTCATATGTGCAGTGTAAATGTTAAGGACATGGCGTTCTTAACTTCATATGTGCATGTAAATGTTAAGGACACCATGTCCTTAATATTTACACAGCACTCATGAAGAAAAGGTAAAAACGTCTTTTCGTATTAATTTTAATAGAGTAGTGGCTATTTTTGCTCAGCATTAAAAATACTGGATAAAAACTAAATACCATGTTGAAAAGTGACTATCCCATGCCATTTCTACTGGGACGGGCTGCCCATTTTGTCTCTATGGTTCGGCCCATTAACATCTCGTCCCGCCAGCCCACGTGATTATTTTTTTTAAAAAAAGAGTCGTTGGCCAACGGCATTCTTTGCAAAATTAGCCGTTGGCAAAGGCTATAAACGGCCATTTTTGGTCCCCTACCCCCAAAACGCCCCCTACCCCCAAATTTTTAATTTAACTCCTAAGTTTATTAATTACACTTTTGCCTTATTTTAAACTATAAATACCCCATCCTTTTTCATCTTTTCTACAAAAATCAATCGTTCTCTCTCAAATCTCTTACATTCTATCTATATTCTTATCTCAATTTTCTCACAACCAACTGTGTTTCAAGTATTTGGGCAAATTTTTGGAGCAACTTTCAAGCTTCAAATTAATCCGTCAAGTATTTGGAGTAATTTTTTGGACAATTTCTTCAAGTTTCAATATTTAATCACGGTGCACTCGTTTCATCTCCTAATTTTAATATTTAATTTTGTTTTACTTTATTTGTTCTATTTTCGTGTTTCATTTGTGTGTTTAATTTTTGTGTTAACTTTTCTAATTTATTTTCGTATATAAATTATAGCTCCTAAAAGTGTATTTGGCATAATCAACCCATTAAAAAAAAGTAGTAAAGGTGCTAGTTGTAGTAATCCTAATTATCCTTCTCCTAGAATTAGAAAACATATAGATGAAATGACTCATGTTGATAAAACTTCATTTTCACAATCCCTCGCATTTTTTAATATTAATTTGGGAAAACAACTAGATCATGAAATTTTACAAAGACAATTTGGCAATGATATTCTTAATGAGGAAGAAGAATTAGATGAAACCCCCACTAGTCCAGCAACACAAGCTCCAACTCAGAGTCAATCTCGGTCTGGTACAAAACATACATAAATGGACAACAAAATGATTACACTTTTCAAGGAGAAAAGGGAGGGACGGTTTCTTATAAAAATTTTAAGGAGACAAGACACGGATCATTGAATGTTCGTGAAATCCTTTTACACTAAAAGACAACTTTTATTTCACATATAGAATACAAGTCTCTTGTGTCTCCATGCAATGGGTATTGCGTAGGAGGCCCTATTCGATGCTAGCAAACGACTTGTTTCCGTCAACGTTAGGTTATCTTGGTATTAAAGCAAGACATTATAAGCAGAAGAAAGTACAAATAGGGCCGGCTCTAATGTAGATTCAAATAAGGCTTTTTTCTTAAGCCCCCAAATTTGAGGGGCCCCATTTTTTTTAGAAATAATAGATTTATAGGTATTTAAAAATATAATATTTAGTACTTTTTTATATAAAAGTAGAGTTTTTCTATAAAAGTTGCCTCAAAGAAAAGAAGTCCAAGATTATAATTGATAAAATCTTACCTAAGATTCAATGTCTCAAGATAGATTAAATTTGTTGGTTATATTATCAAATAAAAAGAAATTATTAGAGGAAATCGATTATAAAATATTATTAATAATTTTTTAAAAAAAAATTTAGGCCTCAAATTAAACTTTGGCTTTATGTCACACATATGTTTGGGCCGCCCTTGAGTATAATAATACCAATAACTTCTTGTTAGAGAAATGAACATTAGATAAAGCAGGGAGGGCAGACTTGTGGATGTTTTTTTTTGACATCTTCTTTCTTTAGTTCAAAGTGGCTTGTCATTGCATAAAATTTTTGGCAAACCCATTTACATTGCATTGTCAAAAGAGATTCTATCAAAAGTTTCTTAGCAAAACACACAACTGAATAAACACAACAAAATAAGTACCATATCATACATGGTAACTAGATTTTAAGACTAATTAAAAGTACTCAAATAAACTTAGTGTTTAAAACTCAAAAGTAGACCACATTCTTCAGGTACTCCTTTCATTCACTTTACGCACTCCTGTCATTCACTTTTGCTGATAGTTTATTTACACCCACTCTTAGCAGTTGAACACAAATAGAAAAAACCAATTAGAAAGCTTTAATCTTCTAACAAAGTTTGCATCCTAATACACACATCTAAATTATTTAAGTATGAGAAAAAATGTTACTTACTGTGTGTAGTAGGCAATAAAGCATATCATCTCTCCATAAGCTACCACACATCCTATGCTAGAGAATACCAAAAATCAGTAGTTTCTCTTCAACTTTATTCCATCTCTAAATTTCACAATTCTTTTAGACCTATCGATCACAGAATCTTCAGACACTTCAAGGTTCAATTCTCCATTGTTGACTTCATTAACCCTCCCCATAAGAGGTGATTCTTGTCGTGGTGTCTCTGATTCCAAAATGAGCGATGCCTTCTCTGCTACGGCTCTTTTTTTATTGTCCAAATCAGTGACATGAGGCTGCATTGTATCTATGTTGATATACAATGCGTAACATGCAGAATAGAAAGCAACAACAAAGATAGCAATTGTCAACCCAACAAATACAGGAACAACATCATAAGGGATCACTGGGTTTTGGAAATGCATCTCTCCTCCACATAACATAAATGCAAAGCCAACTTGGCCTATAAATGAGCCAAAAATTTCACTTAGTTTCTCCGAGATGAGAATTGACAGACATTAGATTTCTTTAAGTACATGATATCTGTAGATTTATTTGTAATAAATCTACATAAATTTTTTGGACTCTGTATTATCTCTATATTTTTATGTGTCAAGTGCTCCTAACTCTACAAGTCTTAAAGCCCTCAAAGCAAGTGGTACTGCTTTGATTTCTCTCGAAAAAGAGCGGAGTCCAAAGGCGTCTCAATAGAACTTGTGGCCTAAAGCCAAATTTTAATAAGGGACTTTAATTTTTTTTCTTTTTTATCTGTTGTATAGTTATCTTGAAAAATATAGTATTAATATAACATTGGTTTCTTTTTTCTTTCTTTCTTTTTGTCTATCGTGTAGTTATCATATAAAATATAATATTAATATTCATATTGGTAAGAAAATCCAAGTTAATAAAATGTTAGCCACGTATTTACAATTCGTTATCTTGGATCTTATTGTAAAAAATACTATTTATCAATATGAAAATTTGAGTATCTTAATTCAAAGTTCTAAAATATTTCTAGTGTTGAAAAATAGATAGCCTTTCTCTCCATTTTGATAAGGATTTTGTATTTTTTTATTTTTTATATAAATTTTAATATTGTCTAAGCGAAAATAAGATAGTAAATTCACAACTAAAAATATTTTTGGGGCCCTAAAATTTAGGGGGTCTAAAGCAAAGGTTTTACTTGTCTCCCCCTTGAGCCACCCTTGGAGCGGACCGATCTACATCTGGCTATAATGGAGTTGCTGAAATGCACTGATGAACATGTAGATCGGTCCGCGCTTTCTCAAGAGCAACCAAAGTAGTAACACTTGCTTTGAGGATTTTAAGACTTGTAGAATTAGGAGCACCTAGCACATAAAAATATAGAGCTAATACAAAGTCCAAAAAATTTATGTAGATTTATCACAAACAAATCACAGATATACATGTACTTAAAGAAATCTAAAGTCTGTCAATTCTCAACGGGGAAAAACTAAGTGGATTTATCATGAAAATTCATGAAATCAAAATTTCTTAAATAATTTGTGAAAACTC